TATTTCCACTACAGAGTTGTAACAAGAAAAAAAGAAATTTTATTAGTTATTAATAAAGAATATTCGTGAAGGCAGGTATTACTGTATTAGACGACTTTTCTTTCTTGGAAAAGTTTTCTTTTTCAGTTTATCTTCTCGAGCCGTAATCTGTGTCATAATGGTGAACATTTATTACCAGGTGGGCTGCCTTCTTATTTGTCACTCAATGACGCAAAAAAGTATCTTGAAAAATATAAAGGTTCGAAATTGTAAAACGCGAAAGACGTCAACTGAAGCGTCTAACATTACTAACAAATTTGTATCTCATTATAATCCGTACTATAGTCGGATGACACTGAAGATTTAAACAGAATCGTTTATCTTTCAAAGAAGTTTCGGGACTTAGCCAGAACTTAATATCGAAAATAAAATTTGTTTTCGCTTTTCGAAGAGTTGTCGACCATTAGTCAAGTTTCAAAACGGTTGCAGGAACATGCGCTCCTGTCATTTAAGAGTTTACAACAACCGGGACCCTTGCTTAGATTAATTAAACTCTTTAATTGGTCCCTCGGGTACCAGGTAGACTGCCGGGACACGTCCTCCGAGACGAGACGCTTTTGTTATCAAAGATCACGATATAATTTTATAAAATTACAGTTCAAACATTTTATGAAACCTTGAAAGTTACTTTGACTTATATTACAGAATATTAAATAGCAAAAAAGGTTCGTTTATTATATTGTTTCAGCTACTTTCATTGTTTCACTGAGAATTATTGACTTTTGGTGATTCTGTTACATTGTAATTTTTCGATTTACCATTTTACGTTTCAATGTCTAAAGAGAAATGTTTTATGCATTTCAGAAATAAATATTAAGTTCAAACGTACAATTAATGTGAAATTAGAATCAAACTAGTACTACTACTAGATACTTAAACAGACTTAAGCAACGCAAAGCAAAGCATATTTTTTTTAATTTCAACTTTAAATTATTTGCACTTAGACCACCCGTATTATGTACTAACTTTCATTAGAATCCTAATGTATTTACGTTCAAAAAGTTTTAATGTTGTCTACCTGATTTCGTATCGACGGCGCTATTAAAAACATTGCGAGAACAAGCGAAGTTACGTAACATGCATTACAGGAAATTATTTGTTCGGAGAGTAGCAACGTCATGGTTACCATGTTATTATACCGCCACAAATACGATGCGCAAAACATAGAAGCTGAAAGGGTCTCGCTGGGTACATTTCTAATGGCACCCACCTACGTAATCTTAATTAATAAATAAGTAAACAGCAGGTCGAATTACAGAGTGGGACTTAGTTACACTAAGTGGCTGTTTAAGCAATAGCACGTTTTGAATTTATAAGTTGAAGTTTGTATGCATATTATAAGCAGTAAGATGTTAACCGCTACGTAGTGCTACGCGTTACTACGAACTACTACGATGCGTTACGAGGGGTTACGCTGAGCTACGCTGCTACGGCTACGGTCTGTCGCGTCGGTCGGTTTGGCTACGGCAGCGGTCGGGCAAAATGGGCAAGTTACACGCTCCGTCACGCTCCCTCCGTCTATTGCCAACACGTAGTCTTTAATTGACATTTGCTAAGGAAGTCCTACCTCTAGTTAGTTATCTTAATAAATTCTGTATTCCAAGCAACAAGGTCCCCACGAATGAAGAATGGCTGGTGTAAACCAACAGCTGCGGATTGAGGTTAGCGGGTTTCACTTTGTTCTACTTTGTATTACCTATCTAAGCCTGCAATGTATGAGCTCAGCACAAACTTAGACAGAAACAAAAAAGTCCGACACGGGTAAATCTTCAAAAGTAACAAAAAAATGATGAAAGCATTAGATTAAATTGTTACGTGGGATGTAACGCGGAAAGATTACACAGCAACTGTTTCATACCGGTTTTAATCGTTTTACCAGAGACATTCCAGTCCTGTGATCAAAGTCGATTTAATTAAAAATCTTGCAATAGACGGTTGTCTAAATTCCAAGCAACGCTGAGATTTTTTCTTTTTGTAAAAGAGGTTTAAATTAAATCCTATTTCATTTAGGTAGCCTACATTGATACATTTTTGTGTAAATCTCTTTGGGTTTTGCGACTTAATCCGTTGTTATTGTACAAGGAAATTATTGAAGCAGCCGTCGAGCTGACGCTGCTGTGTTCTGTGTGCTACTCAAACAACATAAACTCGATATTGCAACACAAATAACAGACTGCGTACGTGATTTAAATACGCATAAAGAGGAACCAAAGCCTTCCTATACCTGTCTCTTACAACCCAATAAATTTTACTGGTAAAATCTGATTTTATTCAAGGTACAGTTAACAAATGCAAAAATATATCTTCGCAATTTCTTCTACGAGGCCGCATATTAAATTAGACTGAAAGAAGTAAAATAAAAATGTAAAACGGATTCAAGTCGGGCGAACGAGAAAAAATCGAGTTCGAGTCAGTAGGAGGCCACGATTAGTGTTCCGTATAATACAATTCTTTAAAAAATAACATTTTTGGGAAATTCTGTACAACGGTATTCACCTTTTATTTCATAATTATTTCTAACTGCGCCTAAACAATCGTACGTTTTATTCTGTGTTGAGTAATGAAACGTTATTACTTACATTTTTATTTAGGTATTTTCTATGCAAAGTTTCCAAAGGTTCAATTAAATTGACTCCGGTAGAACAATACGATGTGCATTCAGTTTATCATTTTGAAGAGAACTCTAGAAAACAGGTGAGGGTTGTAGAGAGAATTTCCGTAAAGTGACGCGATGCTATTGAGGATCGGTCGCTTCACAAAATGAAATTTAGTATCGAAGTGTTCTGCTGACGTCTTTCGTGGGAAACTCACCGACCGTGTGCTGCACTTACTGTACTACACTATATACCTACATACGTCTCCAAGCGAAAAGATATCTTTAACCATATAAATAAACAAATTTACACCACAATAATCGCAACGTTAATTGTTAATTGATAATTATCGAAGAATTCCACAATGCAGTCCGAATTGATCAATGCAAATAATTAAAATTTACAGTCATATCGAACAATAAACATCGTGCAATTCGCTGATTACCACCAATATAGTAATCTCTGAGAGTTATTCAGACAAAAGAATACATCGCGTTCAATTTTCGCTCAATAACTATTATTGTTTTCACTAAAAGTGTTCTGCTTAAAGTTCACTTAAAATATGCTTACATTTTACGAGAGTATAAAATTGTTATTATTTATTTATTTATTATAAAATTGTTCGTTTACAACTAAATGGGAAAACATTTATTTTTGTTTTAAAAATAATATACCGGAGTGGCTAGAGCCATATTTCTGATGTAGTCATAGCTGCTGGCCATTCATATCCTTGTCACTTTGCAGGGACAGATAAGTAGGTGCATGAGCGCATGTGCACTTGCAATCCAAAAGCATGCAAGCGTGCGTGGGTGCTCGGGGCGGGTCGCCGGACCTTATTTATGGTACCCCACCGCCGCGCCGTCATCTGCTTTACGAGTTGGCGACGCTCGTGGGCGTGAACTGTTCACTTAAATTTATCTTCTGCACCCATACAAGGAACTCGAGACGACGGCGACGGACCGTTACGTGTGTCCGCGTCATAAAATGTCTCTTCGATGAATAGAACAATAGCAACCAGCTCTCAAGTGTTATGGACTGAAACTCGTAAAATTACCGCACTCGAGAAACCACTTGGGTTATTGCATAAACTAAAATACAGTAAATATACATGCATACATATATGTATATAGTACAAATTAACATCATTGCCAATGCGACGTCACACCTGCCAACTCCATGCTTGATAAACTCACATAAAATGATTATATTTCCAAGTGACATAAAAAGCAACTTCTTAATTAATGCTTTTCTAAGAGTTAAAGATAATAACGTTCAAGTGGCGCCAGATGTTGACGAGTGTAATAGCTGAGTTATGAATTTTAATGTCTGCTCGACGAAAATCGGAATGAATATTGAACACAGTAAAAAAAGGAAATAATTAAGCTCGAAAAGGATGTTTCCGCCACGGAATGGCTCAGCAAGTCTCGAGGGGAAATTTACGATGAACACTGAAAAATAATTAAGATAGAATCTCATTAGGGAGGTACACAGTGAGCGGACATAGTCGGACTAGCGACGACTGACTACATGCTAAACTAGCTACAACGGTCTGCGATTGATAGGTACAGGCCGTCTGCAGACTCCGATATTAATCATTAAAGCGGGACATACCGAAGAAGTTTATTAATGATCAAAACATCAGATGCTCCATTAGCTATTTGACGAGAGCTGTGTAATCGCCGAGGCCGTTTCCACGCTAGTACTATCACTGTATTTGACTTTCCGATCGAATAGCTTTTTGTACTTTTTAATATGCAATAAAATCCATTCATAGAAACGGGGTTAAGCATACAAATGCACTTTGAATGCATTAAAGATAATAAAACTGCCGCTGATAGATATATATTTGGATCAGTTCCAAACAAAAAGCAAACTGTCGTAGATCTAAGCATTAAGGCAAATGGGTAATACCATTAATTGTAATTCTTGGGCCTTGAAATTAAGAGCCCTATCTAATTTAAATATACATTTTAACAGAGAGACTTTGTAACTTCAAGCTGTCTTTAATCTGAATACATCACATTAAGTGAAAGTAGCTTTATATTCTTTATCTAAATCAGGAGCTACGTTGTTAAACGGCGTTTGTACAAATCAAGAATTGCCTACGTTAGCGTTAAAGACCAACCTGCGAACATGTAGGTAAAGATCTCGTTAATTCTGATCGCGTTTCCCCACGGGAGCAAAAACAGAAACTCCTCTGAAGTGTAGTGTCGCCGGGGGAGCGACTTTATAAATGCCATACGCTTACGCCTCAAAGCATTGACTGGAGCTATCAGCTGAACGAGTTCCAGGTACCTGGTGTTTGTCGTTCAAGTGAATGTATAAATGCTATTGAAAATGGTTGCAACGTCTGAGCGTGTGCACACAATGGATGTGGTGTTTATGGAAGTACTAATACGTTCTGCGAGCCGTTACGTGTTCCGCTCAGGAATGTGGGCGGACAAACAACGGGACGATTGTAGATCTGTAGGTGCGCCTGACTCTGTTTATGTGACGGTAGCTCAGGGCAATACCGCAAATTGAGCGAGCAACTCGACCTTACGCCCCACTACGTGCATTAATGGCGCCATAGAATCCTCTGCGCACGCAATAAACACTCGCCGTGATGCTTCTGCTTATTCGCCAATTTATATTACACACGCCATCGTCTTAACTAGCTGCTGTTGACTTTAATTTAATTACAATTTACGAAGTGAAGTGTTCATTGGCCAGATTCAACTTAAATTACTAAAGTTTAGTTGCACAGCATAGATACGTACGTATAGACAGTAATTGGTTGGCCAGGTAAACAAGAATTTAATTTATCCTCTATTCTATATTATATGGAAAATATTTTTTTTATGAATTGCGTGTGCTTGTTATTTATTTTTTGTTGTTTATCATACAACATTTAAATCGCCTTACCAGCTTAAATAATCTGGTTTTGTATTAAAAATAAGTCAATCAAAAATGAAATACAAATTCCATTAAAATGTGTAACAGTAATTGACTTTATGCCAGTTGGGAAAAAATCGTCGAATAAATATAAAAATTCATGGAAAGTCAATTCAAAAATTGTAACAATGTGAAGCGTACTGTTTGTACATGCTGTGTAATGAAACTAAGGTTTGACTTGACTTTATAGAGTCCCTACCACCACAGGTTGGTACAAACCTACATAAATCCTCAAATTAAGAATTGTTAACCAATGGTTTCTGTTATATTTATAATTTGTTGCAGTGCAATGTAAACTACGCCTGCATCTGAGGATCGCAAAACGAACCTATTTCGACACAATGACTGTGAGCATTACATTCAGAGCTCACCACTATTACACGCCACGGCTTTCTGGCAAATTCTAAATGTACAACGAAAATTTGACAGTAAATCGATGATGCGTGCTTACGCAGGTAGGTAACAAAACGGTGTCCCTGGAGAGTCGCGCTGCAGCAATCATGTGCCTGGCTGCATTACCGATGGGCAGCATGGCGCCGAACCCCTTTGTGTACTCATTCGAATGCCGCTCATATCGCCACGCTGCCACACGCCACTATGGGCCAATAGCGCGAACAACACTCCATATTAAAGGCCCCAAATTGCAGTTTAATTTATTCCGGACGTGTCTCGGCAACGGAATCGCAATAACCGGCAAAACAATACCGCCGTTTATTGAGGGCTGTTTGATTGCACTTATAGCTAACTACAACTGCTGTGGAACTATGTTCCATCGATGAAAGGATTATCTCGATTTTCTTTGAAGCTTCCAGTAACGGTTATATCCGTGGATCCCCGTTACTGAGTTCCGATTGTTTGTCTGGAACATTTATTAAATAAATATCATAGTATTTACAAACGGTAGTCTACAACTAGACTACAACATTGTTTACTATTTGCTTCACAAGAAACTATGAAACAGCACGTATCTACCTCTGCATCGGTAGTTTTCAAAGTAGAAAGTTTTCCCATATCAAAAATTATATATTGAGAGCTGTCGATTCAGAGGTTTTCTTTAAAACTTTTGAAAACATCTTAATATTTGTTCATGTAAGACTGCGATTTGCTTTACTTACTTTATATTATGTATACATTTCATAATATGTATATAAATATCCATGGCTTCCAAATTGAAATTAAATTTCTATGAATCGTATTTATTTGAATAGTGTAAAGTTGGTTTGCTTGGTAAAAAAAGTTCCAAAAATACACAGGGACACTATACCGGGACTATCAAATGCAAATAAGATTTGAAATGTGAACATGATTGAGGGGATAGGATATATTATGCGGTCACACACATTTACACACAGAGTTATGACATGAACCTTCCGTAATAGGAATATTTTAAATACTTCAACCCGTTGCTAGCACAATACCAAAGCCGTACTAGTTGTAGTTTAGAATACATTTCCGAGAGGCTTTCAGCTGGGACTGAGTGTTATTAAGCTGCTGTCGAGTCAACTCCCTAATTACAAAGCCTTTTCCCCTTTCGCAGATTGGCAACTTAAAATACAAAACTGAAAAATAAAAATCTGATGGAAAACTGAAGGAAAATATTTCTCTGCATAATGTTCACCACTAATTATGGCTTTTAACCAACCGGCAACCAGTTGAAATGAATGACGTCGACGTTGATGACCCAGATGTAGCGCAAAGTGTCCGCTTTTAAGCCCCGGACCTAAGTACGAATCAAGACAAAAACTGTTTCATTCATATAAAGGAGTTATATCTCAAAACGTTTTTCAAGTACACTAAGAAATATTGGCAATTGTCTTTCTCAGGGTTTTTGGAAAAACACTCGCCAATTCCAGTTCCAAGAATACATATTTATGCGAACAAGTCGACTCATGCCGGGGCTAAAATGTAAAAGAGAAAATAATCGTGACAATCGAATTGCATTTCAACAGACTCGGTTCGAGAATGCCCCACTCGAAAGGTGACGTGAAACATTGGACCTCCTACCCACTTAGGGGGAACTGTCCCATTTTCTGTTATTGGGCTTACCGTCTGTTTTGTATTACCAACTTATGATTAAAAAACATTCAAAAATGTAATATTAAGTACATTTACATAATATTTTGTGATAAAATATAATTCATAATTATCATCATAAAGTATGTGCATGACCTTGCTAGCTAATGGCGCATCGGCGATTGCAAACTTGTATTTTATAGTTATAGATTTCTTGTGATGTTTTATAGAACAGTTTTTTAAGAACTGGGTGTTGTCATTTTTCTTTAGGATCAATATGAAATATAAAACACTGTTCCATACATTTTTAATCTTGTCACGTATGCGTATCCTTTTCACGTAGTAATTTTTTAAACAAATGTTTTATTAAAACCACCTCTTGTATAAAATATAATTAAAAAAAAACTATTTTGCGTCGTATATATTTAATTACTAGCTGTTGCCCGCGACTTTGTTCGCCTGGAATAGTGACTTCCTGCAGATTTTTGGTTTAAAAACTATCTTATGTCCTTTCTCGAGTTCCAAAGTATGTCTATACCAAATTTTACACAAATAGGTTGAATAGTTTAGGCGTTAGAGTGAAGAAAAGACAGACAGACAGACACAAACAGACAGAGTTACTTTCGCACTTATAACATTAGTTTGGATGTCTTCACGAGATTCGGCTGTGGAAATATCGGACTATGAAAGTATTTGTTTCAAGCAAACCATGCCTACGTTAAGAGGATTCTCAAAAAAATAAAGAATTTGAAGAATAGAAAAAACAACAATTCAGCAAAACAAAATCTTTGTCAAAGCTATTATTTAAATACAAAACATAATTCCCAGTGGAATAACAAAGCGAGATTTCTATGAAACAAATCTGACATAGCTCTGTTCATTATTTGATAAGATGCAGATATAAAACAAAATTGATCCCGACGTCGGTCCCACAAATACAGCCGTCATTAATTGGAGTAAAATTGTTTGTACGTTTAGTTTGTTTGCGCTGCCAGCATTGAAAGGAATCACGCTGCCAGTCGAGTTTGACATGAGAAACGAACCGCTGCTACAGTCGATCCATGTTTGCTATGGTGTTCAACGCTACCTACGTTTCCACACCTAAATAAACACCAACTTATATAATTAATAAAGTTCGAATTTATTTGCTAAATAAACATTACCTTAAAAACTATCACTTTATTTTCTACATCTCCTCTCTAATTTAAACGTCCCGGAGAATGTAGGTAAATAGAAAAAGAAAGTGAAAGAGTAATCTAAAGCAATAAACTATTGAAGAAAGAGCCCATAAAATAAATTTTCGCTTTTTAAGACCACAACGTTATTTTATCTTCTTAATTCGATGCGATATGTTATCGAGGCGGAAATTAAAGCGAAGCTTTTCTCGATGCTGATAGATATAGTATTTAAGAAAAAAAACATGGAGTAGTGTAATCGAGAACTGAACGAGTTAACGTTCCATGGTGGCATGCCCGCGCCGTATTAATGAACGGGGGCGGGCACGGAACCGGAGCGAGCGGCAAGTAAAACTTCTCCGCTATTGTTTCGGCAACTATTAAAACTGGTACCCATACCTCTAAGTTCGCTCTTGGATGCACTTTGCGAATGTCTCACACTTTGAAAATTTTGTCTGGTGGAAACTTGTATCGAAACTTTCAGATTTTCCTCGGTAGAATGAAAATAAAGGTACTCTATAGGAAAGAAATATACTAGTCATTCGTTCCACTTTACAAGAAAGAAAGATCGAAACTTAATCTTATACAAGTGGATTAGTTGCGGAAATATTCAACGTTTCCTAAAGGCGAATAGTGAAAAAAGGTTACACTCAGATATTTAAAAAGGATTATGGGGTCTTGTATGGTTCGCGATTTATCTTCTTAACGACTTCCGCAGTGTGACGCGTTCGGCGACGTGCGCGACGGCTGGCGGGCGCGAGTGCCACGCTGCGTACACGTCCCCGAGCCGCCGCCGCCACGCTCGCCGGTCGCTCGATCCTCACACACTAACCACTCGCACGTTCGTCGTCATTTTTCATCTCGACATGCATATTCAACGCAACAATAAATCATTGGAGCCATCCCCTCACAGCCAACCGAAATGACCTTACTGTTATGTCGCTAACTGTGAAAAATATCGCACAAAATGTATGTAAGTAAACAAACGAAACCGAAATATAACGTTAATAATTACCACCCTTTCGAGTGGTTGATAAATAGGGTCATTATTATCACCAACTCGTTGAAAAATGGTTCTCTCTCTTGATATTTTATTCAAATAGCCAGCCGACGAATATTCTTTTTATGAAGCTCACGATGTTTTGCGCTTCCCTTTTACATTTTTGCAATCACTTCCTTTACTTCTGTTCTGGGTGCTTTCATCGAAATAATAGTTAGCAAAAATAAAACACGTACCTACTGCTTTCTCTGGATTTTTTATTAATTCCGTGACTTTTAAAAACATTTTAAATTTATTTGTATCGTCATATTTCATACTAAATTAGTGTTGGTATTAGTTGCCGATATCATAATATCTAACGTTACACGAGTAGTTTAGTAATAGGTATATGTTTTTTACAAAAACTCTAGTAGTTTAAGCCAGTATTCCAGCTACAAATAAGCTTGCTGCTTTCTAAAGAAAAGCGAGCTGTTTTAATTTAAAGCGATTTATCTCGAACATTTAATTAAGTTACGTAGTTGTATTTTACAGTTACTTTTCATGACCTTCGTTCATTATATTATTTTTCAATTTGCATACGGATAAGCAGCCGTAAATAAACAATTAAAAAATGGAGTGCACAAAAAGTGTTTTAATATAGTGGGCCGTGGATGTCCGAAACGTTTGTCACAATTTTGGTTAACCGTAAAAAATAACCGAGGACACAGCTGCGGTCAAATTAATTTGGAGTTTGTTAATATTTTGTGTGTGTGAACACAAACACACTAAAGTTTATGACCATTAGAAAGTTTTGTCGATTGTTCCGCATAATTACATCGCGCAGTTGTAAAAGGACATAACGTTTTTGCTACGTACGTTCGCAAACTGTTTTATGCGCATCCATTTTGCTAAACATATGTTGTCTATTAAGCTTTATTTTAGTGTAGTTTTGTCGCACTAAAACTGTCGATTCGATTAAGCCTATTAAATTAGACGACACATTCTATTTACCCGATATCCGCGCATCAATTTGCATAATTATTGGCGCTGATGTACGTGACGCGTCCGTCACGGGCCATTTTGGTAATCATTGTTTTTGTACACTGTAATACAAACTATCCGTAATACGACTACAATGACTCTGATTATATCATATTTCATTGAATAAAATCAATTAGTCTCATTTTTAATTCGAACCCAAGTTAGTTATAAACATAAAAGGTTACCCACTGAGAAAATGGAACGTAAACAATGCTTTTAATTTGAAAATTCTATTGTTTGCATAGTATGACAGGCTTTTTAATTTTAAATTCTTGAAGACACCGCGAATAGAAGCTGGTCACAGCACAGAGTTTTAAAAACTAAACTTGAAGAACCCTCAACATTGCTTGTTCCATAAAAGTTTAACTGCAAAGAATATATTAATCTAGTTATAGACCATTATCATAGAGTTCCGTGCCTCAAAAGCAAAACATGAAATCTTTATAACAGGAACATTTTAATGGGGGTTCTCCCTTCAAAGAACTTTTATATTTTTCGCATCGTATGACTTTTCTTTAAGGAACGTTTTTCTATAAAACCTGAGTAAAATCTTAATTGGGTTATGTAGTAATTCAAAACTAGATTCATGAACTCATCGTTGTAATCCAATAGCACTTAAAAGATAATGTAAGTTATAAAAGCACCTAGATGAATACTGTATTATGCTAGTTAATTAATATTTATGCTGTGCCATTTCTATTACGTAACACTGAAATGGCTTCGGAATTCATTTTAGCTTTTAACTTTAGCACCGGCATCCCGAAGGTTTATATCCCAGATAAACGGGACCGTTACTTGAATCGATATCACTTCAAAGAATGCTCTTCGTATACCCAGCAACTGTAGTAGACCGTGTGTATGTGAATAGTAAAGGGTGCTGCTGAAGGTCATAAGCCTAAATCTTGTTTATTCATGACGTTAGAGTGATTCGGCGAACATAAAGTTGGAGTAATGAGGCGTGACACTACCTGTGCGTGGTGCGGCGAGCGATTTGTTAGCTAGAACGAGGCCAACCCTTGGGTCCCCCATCCCCGCACCCCTCCCGCCTTTCCCGCCCCCAACATTTCTTAGAAGCTCAAACATTAAGTACGCGATGGACGATTAAACGGCTTACTTGAGAATTACATAAATATCACAGACGTCCCGCTGACTACCTAACCATATTTGGATTATGACTAATTCTTAAAAGAGATTTTGTTTGGTACGCTGAACTCTCAAATTGCAAATCCTCTTGAAACGGAAGAAATAAATATTCAAAGAGAATTTACATGCAAATAAGAAAAAGGTTTTAATTCTACGACGAGTAGGCTTAATTTGGGTAGGTCCTATCGGCGCGATCTTCACGGAGGCGACAAGATCTTTAAGTTCATCGCGAGCCGAAATCTTTTTGTGTATAGGGAAACCTAGGAAAGGAAAACACAATAGCGATATTTATAACAAAATGGAAGGGGCTCGACTAATTAGTTGAACAACAAAGTCAGCCTGGTTGGCATCAAGGGTTAATCCGAGTTGAGTTCTATTCCGAATGAAACGACGAAGTAAGTTCGACTGAGACCGGCTCGGACTTTACCCGACCGGAGGTAAAATCTAAATCTCTCCACAACCACAACGTAATAGTATTAAAGTATCGACAATCGCGTTATTCGCCGTATTCGACGATGTGAAACTCCATCGAAAATAAACTCTCATCCAGTTCAAAGTTTAACGTCAGATGTTTACATGAACATGGATACTTCGCGAAATACCCGTGTTCATGTTCATTGCAGTAGAACTTTTTACTGGAGCAAAATAGCTCTAAAAGGTGGTAAAATTGTATTTTCCGAGAATGGGCCAAGTATTTGGCTGTTAATTTACAGTGAAATCTGTAGCGCTGTAACTCTTAGTCGACGATGGGCTGACACAAACATTTAAACAAACTTGAACAGTTTTAATTGAAGCGCCCTCGTCATGGACCGGGCCGAGGCATGCCTGCCTTCCTGCTCTATGTGGACGGTTACGGGCGCAACACTATAGCTACACTCACTACCTTCTAAATAAACTTGTTCCCGTATCCTTGTGGCGTCTTGTGTTTTCCATTACCTAAATTAAATTCAGTTCTGTAGTGCGTTTATAGATTCATAAAGAGAGTTTACCCCGAAGCTTTCTTTAACTCCATTCTGTAGGCTTGTTGTCTAAAAAGCAAACAGTATGTTAAAACAAATGGTAACTTTGTTCCTCGCGTTCGCTACAAAAAGTTAGATGGAAGTTTTTGAATTTTAATTGAAACTAATATGTTGAATGTATGTATGTTGTGGTAACATGGTATTGCTCTTTCAACAAAAGCAAACGAAACGTGGTTATTATTTGAACAATTTTAATTATTTGTAAGCAAAAAAGAATATATTTTGGTAAGGAACATGTGTACAAACGCTTTCTGTAATAACGTTATTTAATGGAGGCCCGTCGACGACACGGTCGACGGACACAGATTAATTATGTAAATGAAGTTTGGGCTGCAGATGCCGATAGAGAAAGGTTCCCTTACAAAACGTACCGCCCGCCGCCACATCGCGAATTAGTACCACTCTCAAAACTTCGTTTCGCCTTCAATGGACCCGCGATCAATCCGAGGCCCATTATCAGGCGGCATGATTCACACAATTTGCGCAATGGATCAACTTGGCTCAAGGAGGAGCCGCAAATCCGGATAAGGATGAAACGAAACCGAGGAATGGTTGAAAATTAGACTAAAAATATACAAACAGCTTCACTCAGTTTTACCAAACAGTCAAATGAAACAATATTTCATCAAGTTTCCGAATTCATTTTCACATTTAGTTAGTCACCACAACGTACAGAGTGTATGTGAAATTCTGAATGTACTAAGACAATAGTGGCGAGGAACAGAAAAATAATACGCATGACATAAAAAGAAAAATGTTACCTATTTTCTTTAACGTCTACAAAGGGATCTTGAAAATATCACATCTCTGGTGCTTGGTGCGAGTTATATCAAAGTTTTAAGAGGCATGTTTTGCTTTTTGTCTTACAGAAATATATGAAGTATGTTTCGTTTCCTTACCTGTTTCATTCTTTACTAAGTATTTTGCTGTAAACAAGTTATTCTTAATAAGCAAAACTGAACAATTTGAATACGTGAACTTTACTACGAGAGTAGAAATTCTAGGTTTGCGAAAGAGGTTACGAACGCAAGTAAGCTGCCGCAATTTTTTGTCCATTGACAAATCCGAGAGCATTCATTAAAATTTCAAATAGAACGCCAGCTTAGTAAACTACGAAAACTCTTTGGAAGTTTGTAAATTTCAGCTAAGCCCTCAATGTTATTTTCATAATAATCCCAATAAGGAATGACTTGGCCAGAATTTCTGTTAAACCATGTTATTTTCTTGGTTTTCCTTTAAACGACTGGCAGGAAAACGAGAGCTATCATTATGCGTCGAGTACCCACTACTGACTCGAGCATTCTTTAAAACCGTATTTAAATTAAAATAATATAAACACATTAATTAAATACATGTCTATAAAGCGATTATAATCAACACCACATTAATTAAACATGCAGATTGCATTACTATTAAGTTCCTAATGAAATAATAAATAATTAATTATAAAGATTACAACTCTACTTCAAAAGGGGATTTAATTAGGAATTCTAATTTCGGGCTCATCTACTAAACTATTAGAGTGTTGTTTTGTATAAAGAAATCGCTAATTTAATTCAACAAAGACTTTGTTTCTAAGACTTTTGTTCAAGTGATTAAAACGTGAATTCTAAACTTGAAGTAGATTAAAGTTTTTTCTTTTAAAAGCACTCCTACCTTCAATATTAGCTCCGTGGCGGACTTTGTACTCGAACAAACCGCATTATGATAGTTTTAAAATGTATTCTAGGATTTTAACTAGTTATTAAATTATTGCGAAGTACATCAAATAACATACATACAACTTAAAAAAGAATAATGCAAATGTAAGGATGACGCCAATAATGGTTTTTTTTAGTAATAGCGCTAATTATAGTCTTCATAAAACTGTACAATTATACATAAATTAGATGAATATGTAATATTAAGTACTGCACCTCAATCTAGTTTAATGTTAAAATTGGAAGATAGCAGATGGAACCTGAACTGCGACACTGCTACACATAATTTTTGTATGTCTTTATTAAAGCCGTGTTTTTATAATCAAAATAATATTGAAATTCGAATTCAACTATTTTAGATTTCATAAAATACGCAACAATACCCGACAAAGCATTGAAAACAAATTAGTTAACACTGCTATATACATTCTCATAACTTTAAACGTAGATACAAAGCCAATGGTCTGAGTTTGTAGTTCCATATTTTAAAGCTTTCATATGGCTAACAAGATTCACGAGAACACAGTCCACACATACACATACAAACTGTGCCTAGATAACAGACGATCTCTGTCGGTTAGAATAACACACTGAAAACATATAGTACGACCACGTTCGTCTTTTGACTGTAGTATAATATAATAGATTTATGTTGTATATACAAGACTGTGTGTCCTATGAAATGTTTTGGATAGCTAAGTTCATACAAAGAGAGATACAGAATTAAATACGTTCGAGTCACGATCATTAATTTACAACATCAGCCTTTAAGCCCAATATAATAATGCCCACTGCTGATCAATATTCTCATACGAAGAAAGATAGATTAATCACCAAGCCTGCTCAAGACGAATTGGCGATTTCAAATTTGCTATTATAATTTTATAATAAGTCCAGATTTTATCACGATGTTTCTCTTCACTGTCTGTCAATGTCTAAAAATCTTTGAAAGTGCGTATGACTCGAAAAAAGATATTGGTGCTTGTTTTTGTTGCTTTTTTGGTTTTGAAACCACACGAGAAGTGGACGCATTAGATTCCGGACCAAAACGACAACTTATTACTATCAACTAACTACTGAATGAATAATTCAAGTAACAAGTCGTACTAATTTCACTATCCCAATCCTAATACTTATTTGAAGATTTAGTTTCCTCAAGTCTTATTATTACAACTATACCAATCCACATATTTATTGGAAGATTCGGTTTCTTATAACCAACGCAGATTAGTGATCTATGTTATCCTCACAATATTTTCTTAATTTTGTTTAACTTTGTGACAGGTTTTAGCAAATCTGTGAATAATATCTTAGATAGTTTATCGTTCAGACTTTAAGTTCGAATTGAAGATTTACTAGATTAAGAGTTATCTTTCTTTTTGTTAGAAAATGTCTGTGACAATAAGGTTTAGTGTAGGAGATCCATGCTTCGGCAAGAATGGGTCGGCTCGACCGGAGTGATAGAAAACTGGTGTGAAACAAGTAGACCTTTTTTTTTCACAGATTGGGTGAGGTTATGGGCAGTTACGCCTTCCCCTACCCCAATCTCTTTTTTTTTAACAGATTGCGTGAGGTTAATAGGGACGTTAACGGACGGTTAAGCCTTTCCAATCTCTAATTCTTAAATCTCCGCAACCCGAATCCCCAAAATACCGCGAACGCATTTGTAACTCCTAAAGAGTTATTGTGTCCTTTGGCGACGCCGATTGCTCACCGTAATCCTGTTGTTCGTTTGCCCTATCACATAAAAAGAGAAGTTTACGGTACAAACATTTAGAACATTGTATTCCTACATTTACAGTAATATTCCTTGCAAAATCTTACATACAAATGTCACACAATAAGCTTCTAAAAAGATTGTCATGTGGGATAAAAGATGAATGCTTTATTTTTTTGCACGGTTGACAGTCGGATACGGATTTATGCATCGCTTTTATTTTTTAGGGTTCCTTCATCAGTTTCAATAATTGCTCTTAGTTTTACTCGTTACATTCAAGTAGTTAAATTTAAATTTAAATTATGTTTCTGAAGAGTATTTTAAAGTGTTGATGGTCGTAAAGTATAAATACCCAAAAAAGGCCTCCCCTGTTCCTGTAGTATCTACGTAATATATTGAGACTATACACACCTATTTACTTTTTTATATACTAAGTATTAAAAATAATTTTAAAAATGTTAAGCAACTTGTATATGGTTATAACTAGCGTTTTAATTGGTTGTTAAAGAAAGGCGTCCAACCAATCAGATGGTATCTCCTTAAAAACTGACCAATCGATACTCATTGCGTATTGTCAGATAGCACTAGACTAGATAGACGTTGCACTCGTAACTGTGTTTTTTCGGTGTTATTCAGTTTCCATATTCCCAGAACTATCTTGAAGTTTGGATTTATGCACCGTGACTGAATACTGTGTTCTGCCTGGAGGCAGTGGCATAGATTTCGAGGAATCAATTGTTTTTAAATCCAAAAGGTTAGGTTGCCTTTTGGATTAAAAAACAATTGATTCCATTGCGTACACAGGGAATTGTAGATACTGCAACACTTCCAAAAAAATACTAAAAGAAACTTAAATAAGTAAGCGAAAATGTTAAATAATTATTTGTAAATAAATATTAATTTTAAATTACTCGAATAACACAGTTAGCGTTTACCAAGAATTTTTAAGCCATTGAAGGTAAGTAAACAGAAATTAAATTATTTCATTCCCAGAACCAATTTTATTGAGAATTCAACAGGTAAGGAAAATGTATATTATTAACATTATATGTATACTAGTCATGCATCCCGTCTTTACACGATTATTGTGCAAACACACAACTTTTCCATCGCATCGAAATCGGGTTTATAAAAATTTCTTTCATTCAAACAAAATTTGTATGTATAGAAACTAACCATAATTTCTCAAGTCCCTCTTACACTCTGTATATGACATACCCTGCTAAGTTGCTTGATCAGGTTTTACGCATGGATTAGTGTAGTACCTAATCGCACGTGTACATACAACACCCTGTATATAACATAAACATGAGCAAAACCTCACCCGTGTTACGTGTACCTTGTACATATCAATGCCTATAAGGGTCTATTCAATATAGAGTTAGCACATTGCTAAGGGAATGGGAACTATTCCGATATTCCCGAGGTTAACACCGGAATGCGGAGGTTCTAAATAGAGGTGACCAATCAGCAGCCGCTTAGATGTGCCGTGTACGTCTGTACGTGGGTTCCGGAATTAACGAGATACATAACTGTTACTAGAGTGGCTGTGCATGACTCCGTAACTGGCTTTGTTCGACGAATATGTTGATACTCTATTGTCTTAACCTCCATACAATTCGATAACTCAAATACAATAAGTACATCACTGAGCTTTAGACACCAGATCAATGTGTGTGACACGCATAATTCAACCAGATTCTAAAAATACCATCGCTGAACTCGACAACTAATTCGACTTCTGTCTTGCTCTCCAATTCTCCTAACCTGATCACATATCTAATTTGGAATTCCAAAACATTTCGCATAGCAATACGTATTGATTTTATTCTTATTAAATTTACAGGCCAAAAAAGACTCGGATAAAACCGGCTGGATATTGTATTGGCGTGTAATTCCGTAGAAAGGTGTTGAATGGGCGTACGCGCGAGCCACCAGCAACAAAAACATAATAGTCGTGAGGGAGCCAAACACTCAACACGTTCGCACTGCAAACATCACCGACTTGGGTAATTTCGCTCAACGGGAAAGTCACAAGAGGGTCCACTCTTCGCACACTTCCATTTCGAAAATAAATGAGTTAATCAAAATAGAACGAGGTCTATGCGAAGAAAATAAAGTAAGACAAATAGGTGCGATTCAACGCATCAAGTCCATTTTACGCATCGTTCGTTTGTTGCTTGCGCGCTCGAGCGCTGCCGTCTAGGTGACTGAGTTGCGCTTAACATTCAGCCCAAGCTAGTACCTCTAATGCGATAGATATATTTCCCGTGACTGTGTGTGCTAATAAACTTATTTTCTCTGAAACGACAAAGGCCTTACCAGCTTTATCGCCTGGGAATAAAGTACTAACGAAACTCAAGTTGACTTTTATCAGACAATCGAGTTATACCCTGAAGTCAGGTCAAGAACGAGATAAGTTAGGGCGGCAGGCGTTTAGTCTCCGCTCATCGTATACGTTTTGCGAAAACGATTAAATAACTTAAAATTGTACCTCATTCATTTCGTTCTGGGTTCAATATCGTTAGATCGGGCTTAGGTATTAGAGTATAAGATTGAATATCGATATATAGAATATGGTTGAAGTAATTTGATGTAACATAAAGTACTATCAATCATATTGTGAGCGGCGGCGCGCGCACTGTTCCACACCGCTGCCACTGCTGCCGACGCCTGGAGACGATCATTCATCACACTTCGAGCTCTCTTAAGTGCTTAACTGCACTATAATCAACTCCTTATATCGGCATTTTGTTAAATACACTCTTATCATAATTACCAGGTACATGAACTCCATTTACTTCAAGATTCAATTCCGCGAAGTCCAATGTTGTCAATGTAGATATCTAATGTTTACGAAAGGAGTGGTTAATATTAATTTCCTGCATGACATCAAAGGGCTTGAATATCGTAAATGCAAACCCTATAAACAAAATCTCATACATAACTAATTTATAAATAACTTACATTGATTTTATATCGAGATTATATTTTTTATCCACATTTTAATATTAATAAGCAAGTCAATTTGTATTCAATCGAATAAACTATGTGTTATTTCAATAGCAAATCTATGCAGTGAGAGCAAAATATTCGCTGGCAAAGTAAAACACATGAATTTTTATGATCGTAAACATTTTTCGTTACGACCCGAAGTGCGGTCGTTAAAACTCTAATCCATAATCATGTGGGTAGAACAAGGAAAATGTCATTCGTCATGCCTAAAAAGATTAGGTAAGGAGTTCACTAAGGAGATCGTTTGGAAAGTGTGATACAGTCAGAAATATTAAGAATTTGCGTACGGAGATAGATAGGTAGGTATCCACGAAGTATGTCATCGACAACATTCAGAGCGACACATCGGTTGCCTACCGACCGACATTAACCCACACGTTTTATTGACAAACATACAACAGAATGTATATTACGCACATAATAATATGTGTATGTAGTATTAGTTCATAGCAATCCCAAGCCAAGTTATCAAGAGCTAATTACTTTCTAAATTAAAGCGTTTATTTGATTTCTACGAAGACACGTAAGACAAAGTTTTTAACATGAAATTTCTTCATCAACTCTCAAATTAACGTCTGATGTAACGTAAATATTTACACGACATTAATTAAACAGCTATCTAATAACTTACTCTCGTAACTAGATGTAGGTAAAGGAGAAACTATTAAACGCGACCGCGAATGTTAAACGTGTGAGCGTAGCATTATTAAAATTAATGGCTTTATTAAAGCGGCCGCACATCAAAATATGTAAACTATGCCGCACTATCCATATGAATGGGCGTGAGCTGCGGCAACGAATATGACGATGGAACCCATATTTGGAGCCGACAGCGGTCGACGTCGGCGCGACGAAGGCGAAGCATATTAGGGCCTCACATTCATCCAACCCGCCCCGAATACACGTCTTTATCAAAGACGTTATTAAACCTGCCGCCCCCATAATACGTAAGCCGGTGAATCGATTTGACTAAATTACCTCAGCACGTATAGAGCCCACACGCACTCCGTGTCCACCTCGTCACAGACACTTAACTCGCAACATGACGATACGATTCCTTAGCAAACCCCTGAATAGGTCAGAGGGACGTTCCGACACTTTATCGTGAGAGCCATTTGAAAAGATTGAGCGCCGAAAGTATCCATGAAAACATAATATCTCTGAAACTGCTGACGGAGCGTCGAGGCTTTTATAGATTTCACCGAGTGAGAAAATTCGCTTTCTCTGTTTCAGAATTATTTTCACACGCCCCTAACCCAGAAACAGTTCAATAGCGGTGCGGCGAACGGGCAAAAGCGCAAGTTCGTTTAATTGCAATTTAGACTAAGCCCAGCGATCGCCACATAAGCTGGCAAACAGAGAGGTCGAGGGTCTGCGGAAGACTCAGATATAGCCGCCGAACCGAGTGCACTCACTGGTATCTAGTTTCGTATAACAAATGGCGGAGCAAACCACTCAACTAAGCTAGTGCTCGCTGCACAAGAACAGTTCGACGATGTCGACCACCACTAGCGACGTTTAAACGTACTTGACATACAGACTTTGATTGCTTTAGTCCATCGAAGCGATTATCCTATTTAAGCTTCCCGCCGTTGATGCAAAAGATTACAATCAAATATTTGAAATACTAATTTATTCAATAACATTTATATTTCGTATTCGATGGAATAGCATCAGGTGCAAAATAATTTCATTAGTTGCCGAATATTCAAATTCAGTACAAATTGTAATCTCCGCACAAAATGTAATATGTAACATATTGACATATACGTATTTGAATAATGAAACACTCCGATATGAAAACAATGGGTTAAGCTTCAAAGGATTGTGTATGGTAGAGGTGACAGGTAATGGGAAAACGCATTAAGCCACCTACGAAGTTGAGCAGCGCTGCGCGGCTCGTGAAATAAAATGCACTAATGATTGCCGGAGCAACGCGCGGCCCGTAACGACCCCGCGTTATTAATCCTATTATATGATTCCTTTGCGCACTAAATATTAGCATACCACACCGAAATGTAGGCTATCTGTGTGCGCCTAATTTGTGGAACAAAGAAAATTAGACGCGAGTAATGGCCAAACAATACGGAGATAATATCTCGCCTTCGATATTTAATATCCGCGCAAACGCAATTATTCACAATCACAAAGATCTCCGGAAATTACATTTTTAATGACAACTTTTGTCAATGCAATTACAATAATAACTAGAAAAAAATACCAAAACGTCCGTGCTACTATTACCAAAAAATTCATAAGTCCAATATGTATAATGTGTGGAGTACGTCGGTACTGTCGGTGCCGCAAGAGGCGATGCGGCTATTAGTGCATATTCTTATATTTTTCTCGTTAATAATTAAAGGTATAGGGCAAATGGATTCCAACAACTATGTAAGTAGATATAGCCCGGCTTATTACTGAATCTAAGGTGAGGTTCGTATTACCCGGGTAAGATATGTGCGCAGGGAATGTTCACGGACATTTAGTTCAGCCTAGGGAACGGTTTGCCATTAACACATCGGCACGTTTACCTGGCGCGGCGCGGTGCCGTGGCTCCCGGCGTGTGCCGTCCCGCAGCTAACCGCGCGGCTCCCGGTACACCAATATTTTATTTTTCTTGACAGCGTAGGAGCGCGTTAAGCCGACGACGGTGCGTTTACTGCGTATAAAGCGATTCAGAAGATACGATATAGTACTAACGTGCTGGAGTACTTTTTCGCCATTAAAGACTATTTTTTTTTTCATTAAAAGAATTAGATTTTTCAGAAAAGTTAAGAATTTGTATTTCAACTTAATTAATCGTATTTAGATATTTACAATCTAATACTTAGATTTACTTTGACTAAAAGCGCTATTTATAAAATTCTTAATATTGGCTTCGTATCCGTTGTTATATAACTGCAAACTCAATAAAGTCTTCTATAGGCACCTACAGTGATAATATCCGTTAGGCAAATTATGTACATCAAAAGGTATTGAAATTCTTGGGGCATCAAACAAGCCACTTTATTGGTTTAAGTTTAGAGTTCAAATTCATAAGCCCATATAATGACCGTTCATTTTACCCTAAGACGCCATTTAATTAATACGTTATCAAACTTCAGTACCAAAATACGGATAGATATCATTGATTTAGTCAAGCGTGTCTCTAGTTTTGACAAAGGAATATCCGCCATCCCGAACATTTGCTCACCTCACTGATCTATCAATACTACGTACGTATATCTATTCACACCTAATTACATGTTCAAATCAGAGTTCCTGTTCGTTTCTTCCTCTTTGTACTCAACTAACTTATTTTAAATATATTAGAAAACCAGACTCGTATTATACGTTTAAACTATTATTACAAGTACAACTTGAAAATAAATCCGACTAGCAACACACCAGAACAATTCAAATTATCTTCCAAATTCACAAGATAGCCAATAAAGAAAATGTAACTAGAGAACGAGTGAATAATTTTAATTACACCCTTGTGTTGAATTTTAGGGTCCATACCAAATAGAATGGGAAAAGTTTGAAGAATGTAAAGGTCCCAAACAGAGCGAGTGCGGTAAGTTCGAAATCAAGAGTTCGCAAAATAAATCCGACGTTGTGTTTCTGTTGGATTTTCCCAAGGACTGCCCGGCTACCTCGGTAGGTGCTTTAATTAAAAATGTTTCATTAAAAAAACTATCTAGTCTATCACATATTTTAGTAACTAATTTCCATTTCAAACAGGCAAAAATTGTGGTTAGCACGATGAGCAACAACGTCACAAAGAAGTTGTGGAACTATGCTTTGAACAAGCCCTGCGAACATTTTGTTATGGGGCCCGTCCTCGTAGATTCGTTCAATTTGACTAAGAATTGCAAAGTTAACAAGGTAAGATATTCAGATAAGCATCAACTAATTTCAAAGAAAGGTAGCAAACATAAAATTAAATGCCATTTTATACACAGGGCCAGTACGAGATACATCTCGACTTTTTAGGGAAAACCAAGATGTTTTTGGGAACAAGTTTCTTTTACGGCCGCTACGCATTCAAGACCATGTCTTATAATAAATTAAACAACTTCTTCTGTGTGTATACATTAGTTTCCATTATCAAGAAAGCGGATTAAAATATGATTTCCATTTTACTATTTGTATCATTATATCCCAACATTTATCTTGTTTTTGAAAGTATTAACATATAACTAAAGACCAAAAACTCTCGTATTCCTTGCAATGGATTTCCAGTTCCTAGAAACCTAGTTTCATTCCGCTCGGGACACTAGAATATTCGATAGAAAAATCTGCGCCATTTATTCGCATTTATTTTCTAGAGAAATAACATCACAGCTGACTTTTATCACCAAATAATAAAGCTGTATTCAGGTGTGAGGTCTATTAATTGGATGGGCCGTGAAAGTTGGTAGTCGCTTTATTCAAGAGGCATAATTATCGTGTTTCATTTAGGCCGCGGTGCACCCCCGGGCTCGTGAGTCGCGTCGAGTTAATAACCGTATAATATAGTCGGCAGCCCGGATAGACGCGTAATATAACTAATTTCCGTGTCGCGATTAAAACTCGTTATAAATGTTCGCCGGGGAAAACTCGGAGGCTGTCACCATTACCGCTAAAAAGAGGAAAAAGAAATTCGCATTAAAACGCACTGAAATTTTGTAAAACGCCGGCGCGCTCATACATGACAAAAACAACTGGCAGACATATTATTTTATGAAGTTTTTATGCCCCGTTTACGAACCGCTACTCTTTGTGATCTGAGTCTTACAAACATTGTGTAACCTAACGTCCGAACGGTCTCGTCCACCTCTAGAGATGAAATTCAATAATCTCGAAAATTCATTTATGTAATTCACAAGAACCAGAGACTAATTTCCCTTCACACTTTTCAATAGCACCTAATTATACTCAATGATGCTTCGTGATTTACTGAAATTGCGAACATAATTATATGCCTTACCATTCACACCGAACACAGCACAAAAGTAAATTGTGTTCATTTCGACAATGGGCGGTTTGCAGATAGTTTTTAATATCGGTTAATTGATATCAACATTAAACAGTTAATAACAGAGAACACGGCCAGACCAGAATTCGCTAATTAATGAGTAATTACTCAACAGACCGAATAATTGATTTAACTTTCAAATAAAACTTCTCCGAATTGTCAAGTAAGAATACGTAGACTAAATCATTGCCATAAAACAAGACGCGGCGAGTCCATCTGTTTCTAAAATTAAATAAAAGGGATCGTAGTTAATACATTTTTAATGAGCTGTAATAATTACACAACAAATTACTTGTCTCAGCAGAGCGAGATCTGCGGAGTAAATCTGGTCGGTAATGGCGCGCGGTGCCACCTGAGCCGGTGGCGGCCGCCTCGCTAATTTCCTAAAGCACAATATAAATTACCGCCTGAAACAATGACGACCGCGCTAAACTCGCACTGCCCGCTTGCACCGCCTAAATTATAATGTACACGCTAAAAGGATTGTTAGCTTTATATAAATTATCTCAAGCGACTACAACAAATTAAGAGAAGTGCTCGCTACTTATAAAAATTATATAGTGAAGTAAACCACTCCGCAGACTAAATGGTTTAAGATTTATTCTTAATGCCGTTGACACAAAGGTTGTAGGCAACAGGAGGATTATAACTTTGCATAATCTTTGGACTTCCAGTTGGGGATGCTTCGATTTATGTCGAGTCAGCCAGTTAATTATTTCCCACGGACAATGAATTGCTGAACTCCATTCATTATCTTGAAATGAATCGACATTTTTTTCGGCATTTTGATTTTCAGCTGATCTTGAGAAGATACAGGGCTTGTTATTTAGTCGTTTGAATGGCGACATTGTTACGATGAGGAGACTAAGATAAATTCAAGATGAGTATTTTTATTAGAAACACAATAATGGAAATGAACCGCATTCTAGCTAAATAAGAGCACAAAGTGAGTGCACTTATTTACAGTAAGTACTTAGAAGTTGTGCGTCCGCTTGGTACGAATAAGTTTTCTATTCTGTTAACATTTTGGCAACACGCCTAAGCTATTTGCAAAACATATTAAACATCTCTATTCGACATTAACAAATGGTTTCTCATAACATGGCGTTGGTGGCTCCGCTCTGTACAAGTGTACAATAAAACACTATGTATGAAAGCACTGACTTTATGGCCACAAATGTAAGCAACGCGCTTACTTATTCACATCACCTAGCCGTGCACAATTGGAAACTGGTATAGGTAAGGTGTGCCGACGTAAAATACCGTATGTACCTACTATGTACTAAGCACTTATGTACAGCTGCAATACTGCCACGAATGCTGTTATTCATGCTCAGAATAAATCAGCTCTTACCTTACAGTACTGTATCGCGAAAGTAAACGCTACTACGTACAGCTATAGCAGGTGAAAAAGCAAAAATGCAAATAGAATAACTTCATAATTAAATTAGTAACAAAGTGATAGTTAAAGCCTCAAGTGCATATGTTCCTTCTCGCACTAACTACTGCTCCACGGACTCGGGCCGTTGCGTTCATTTGAAATTCTTAATTACATTACATTTCTATATTTTTGCTACTAAAAAACGAAAAATACTATATTCAAATGAATTTCATGTGAGTGTAGCTATTTTATTGGAATAACCGATTGGCTGGGAACAGGGCGCCTGTTTAAATGCGTGACCCGTCATTAGGCGCGCGACCGGAGTGCTCCGGGATCACTCAAGTAGGTACGCGCTCGATGGCCTCGTATAATCGACCTGTTAACGTTTCGTCGACATACTACCCAGTACCCACCCAACCCTGTTTGCCGTCATTTATTTTTACTGCTTACTAGGCGAAATTCTGTCCGAGAAGGCGACAGGGACAGAGCAGATCGATCGTCGCTATCTCCCAGCCATACTAAATATACGATCTGTGATGTCATAGATATCAAAGGCAGAATTATTCATTTTATAGCTTACCAGTTACCACGTTTAATTGCGTTAGTAGCTCCGACGTCGCGTAAGACAAACAAGATCAGTATTCTACCACGATATTTAGCACGGAACGTAATAAGCCCGCCGCCCTAAGCGAGTTATCATGTCGAATGTCAAACCTATTTTTTGTCGGTGACAAAGACAACGACTTGGCGAGAGAAAAACAGTGATTTGTGGCGGTAGTGTACACAATGTTCTAAGTGATAATTAAATTGGCTCCTTGAAGAAAGTCAAGATTAGATGTAGAAAAATATTTCCGTCTCAAATCCTCAACTTCAATATCGAATACGTATTTTCGTTCAAGACGAAGAAACATAGTAAGTATGTACCTTATTTACAGACCATCTCATTTCGTACAATATAATGTTTCGATATACATAGAATACTATACGTACTCACTCAAGCTGAGGCACGAGTCAATCCAAGCTTACCTGAAAGGAAAGAAAATACAATGAAAACATATAACAAAGGAGAACATAATCTATATAATATATAGGAAAATCATCGTTCAATATCTTCGCTGAAATACGAAAGCCGATTAAAAAGGGACCGGATTTGATTTCCAAATCTTTAAATCGAAGTCGCGATTAAACAAACTCTGTTAAATTGTTGTGTAAAATAAATATAGCTAGAACAAATGAAGACGCGAAATGAGTTGATACCGCACAACAGTTTTCGAAGACGAGGTCTTGTGTAAGAAGAAAAATAAACAAAGTATTTTGTATCCATTGCCTACGTAAATAAGAGCGAAGGTAGTTACTGATCTAATGTACAAATACACTTAAAAGAAAAAACTAAACTAGAGCTGGCCACCGTAGATACGTAGACAGCCCGTATCCTCTTTAGGAGCCGTCTCATTGACTGGGGTCACCTTTACGGCTGAGCTTTAAGGAGCAGCTCTAACTCAAGATCTTCAAAACACTTGTAATTTCTTTCTTACTATTATTCAATGTAAATAACTTTCAGAGCAGAACCGCATAAGTAGTCAGCGAGCTTAAAAAGGGTTTTGAAGATACGAGTCTCTTAGGGTGCATAGTATATGATGATTTTATACAAAAATGTTCAAGCAAGGAAAGGATTTGGCTGTTGTATCCTTAGGCCTCTCGAGAACAGCTATAAACCCTAACATAAACCGTCCTACTTATCCAATAGTTATTCGAGAATATAGAACATAGTATGCAAGTGCAATATTATCGAGGAACTTAGGTATTTGTATACATAAGTATAACATTATAGTAAGGAATGTTGGCTAACGAATACCTTAGCTGATTGGCTATCGTTGGCTTGTTATACAAAGAGAGACCTTTAATAATACATTTTTATGGACAAAAGATGTTTAGGAAGGCACTTTACGAATGTTTAGGGTTAGTAAAAAAGAAAATATTGGAGTTATGGAATATGTTGACCAGAATATTTGGACCTTTGAAGGGACGAACACAATAGCCACATATTGTACACCTCCCAATAATATCATGAGTTTATGAATAACAGATAAGTTAGGTACTGAAAATTAAATGTTTATTTTAAGTCAGATATTGAATATTAAATGTTTTTTTTATCTATATCGTATTTTTGTTCCGACTTAATAATATATTTTTTCAATTTTATTCGAAAACAAGTGTGCTCTATTTATCGAGTACTGAACTTGCAAAATTCCGATTTGATTTCAGTATACAGTAAAGGTTATCTTGTTTTTACTTAGGAAATAATATATTCACACAATATAATTTACATTCGATATACCTACCTACTATGAAATAAGTGTATAGAGCCATAGCTTACAAATATATGAAAACAAAAAATTGAAAAGCCGAAGCATTACCATATTTAACATTCCTCGAAACATCGCGACGTTTCAAATAACAACATAAAAAACTTGGAAAATAATAGATACTAAGCTCCGATTCTATATTTACTGTTTAATCAAGTATTGTTGGGAGACTCGTAATAAAAGGTTGTTTTAAGAGCCTGCTCCTTGTTATACTATTATTCAAAGATTGTATGTAGCTTTTAAGATGTTAGTTACAATTTATTTATGGATCTGGCAGCAAAACATGATAATAAATTACGTACGGTGAAAGCCAGTGAACCATCGTCACCGCCTAGCTTTATGAACAGTGCTATTTTAATATCCATTGTTACATATTCGACATAATATTATAATTCACACATTCAACCATTACACTCGTCAAAAGCTTTTATACTGTCGAAATCTGTCGCCTATAAATACGCTTCACATTCTCTCGTTAAAAATTATTACTGGTTATCCATTTAATTTGCAATTTTCATAATATGTTACGAATCTAAAGAAATTATGTCAGTTGAAATATTTGCCCCAACCCTGGCAACCCAGAAAACACATATATATACATATGCTCGTTTTATATATGGACACAAAATTGCATTCTAACAAAAATAAAATGACACTACATATGTTGTAGTATTTTTTATAAATCGTTTTGCCACCACCGAAGTGACCACGTTTCCACGAAAAATCACATCAAAACAAAATCCCGATAGAATTGTGTGTAGGTATATAACCAAAACAGAGACCTCCCAATAAAAAAGGAAACGGAAACAAGTACGAAAACCCTCATTCCATCACAAATAGATCTGAGTTCAATGCCAAACAATATCTACACGGGACAGTCATAACGTGGCGCCCCGGACCACTTACCTACATTATAGCTGACGTTTTGAAATAATAAAACATAGCTGATAAAAAAAAAACTAATAAAAGAAATAGTCTAGAAGAGGCGAGAGCTAAAACTATCTGCTAGTAGATGGGAGCATAATCCGCAATGTCGCGCTAAGCCCCGGATGGCCCCTAATGATTCGCCGCGGAAAGATAATCGGAATTGCCTAAGAAAATAACCCCTCGTTGCGACGCAATTGCAACGGACTTTATATAAATGCAATCTCGCCATCGACTTTTTTTATCCCTCAAATAATCGTTCTCCACCGCAGCTTCGACGTAGCGTACGTTCACCGGCGCGACAAACTGTTTCCAACCACTTTATCGTCAGTATAGATAGATGCCTACGCATTCATAGTCTTGTAATTATTCATGACCATGAATAAAATTGTGGGTTTAAGGGAAAATCCCTTCGTAATAGCGAGTAAGTAAGCCACCTGGGCGTAGGATTGTGGTAAAACATACGTGTAAATCACTCTTTTATACAAACCATAAGGAAAGAATATCTAAGCCTCGACTGTTACATATGGTTACGCAAAAGACCCAAATGTGTCGTCACAAAAACAGCGACGAATCTGAACAAAAAACGGTACTAAGCCTGTCCGGAAAAAAGTGAAAGATGGCTGGAAAGATAGAACGAAACACGATTCTTTTGATTACCACGTTATGTTTGGAATGAAACAAAAGACACTTCTATCAGTTGAACAT